AAGTGTTATAATAAAATAAAGTTTATTAATTAAGCACTAGTTAAATATAGTTACACTTTATTAGTAGTGTATATATAAGTCCACAAATGTCATAGATTTAAACTTAAATTTGAAATAAAGTTAAACTTCAAATGTGTATTCAATGCCCACTGGCATATTTAGAATTTTTTGAAGGAAATGAGGGTAAATGCTCCTGATCGGCCAGATTTTTATTTGATCGGCAAAAAGTCCTCATTGCCGATCACCATGATCGGGAACGTTGCGAACGTTATTTCGAGCCCTGCAATGTGTATACATGATCTAATTGGTTCCTGCCCATGCCCACCCACCTATGTTTTTTTCCCAATGAAATTAATAAGAGCAGTATGTTGAAAGAGGTTAAAACATGGGAGATTTTCCTACAAAAGCTGGGTTTGCCTGATAAGAGAGATATCACTATGTATAGCACAGGCCTTTTTGAAGTACTATCACTGTTTGAATTGCTCAAACCTGATGCTGAGTAAAATCATTTGCCATTAGACAGAGTAAAATACTAAAGTAAGGCACAATGGGGTGCATTGCCACTTAAAGGGTTAATGAAATCAAATCAACTCAGTATATGGTGTTAAGCCTCCATAACTGAAAGCAATAGACCCTTCCAAGTTTGACAATGCCATAATGAAACAATAGTACAAGGGGAGCAAACACAATGGAATTCCCTATAGGGGAGGTAAATTTGCAAGGGGTACAAACACAATGGTGAAAACAATATATTCAAGATGGCATCCTTAACCTTGGAAGGGCCTATTCTCAGAAAAAAAGTATTTTTACTTCATCCTGAGGTAAGCAAAGGTAATTTTGATCTAAGACAAGAGAGGTGACAGCTTTCCTATATGAAACTTTCTGACATATAAACAAAAATTCATCCCACTTACTGGTTTTGCTAGTTCCACATAATGCTAGCTCTGCAGCTTAATGGGTTAATTATGTTACCATTGCAATGATCCTGAAGAAATTGATAAAAAAGGGACAATTTTTAGGAAAATTATTTGTCTGCTTACGACAAGGACTGATGTATGTGCTAGGAACACTAAGGGCTAATGAAAAGTGCTCTAATGTTAGCAAAAGCAGGGAAAGAAAACAATACAAAATATCATCTTGTTAGAAAATAATTAGCAAATTAATTCACATTACCATAGCAACCACATGTGACATATAGTGTACAAATCCATTAAGGGGCTGTTTACGTGAGCCTGGCTTAGCCCAATCAACAGGGCTGAAACTTTATCAAGCCAAATAGGGCGGGGGGGGGGGAATTTGTCACACAAGCCAAATGCATGTTAAGAACAACTTAAGAAATAACTATTTGTCCAAAAAATACTAATTCAAATCGATATTGTAGCTTGTACAGCTACAATAGCTTTTTTGTACAGTAGCTTTTTTCGCTAGCCCGGCTACCCGGGCTGCAAAGAGGTTTCCCGGGCTGGTGACTTTACATGGGAAAATTTCAGCCCGGTTAGCCAGGCGCCCTGTTCGGACTCGAGTGAGATCTCGGCTAGGCGGGCTAGACATATAAACTAAAATTGTTTTGTTAAAGAATTTGTAATAAGCCCGGCGCCTCAGTTAACCGGGCCAGCCCGGCTACAAGTGCCTAGTCAGGCTCATGTAAAAGCCCCTAAATGCTAAAATACACTTTAGAAAAGTTTTGATATCCATAGTGATTTACAATCATGAAGGATACTGCATTTTCAGCACATATTTCCTTACAGCTTGCAAAACATCATAGAGCCACCTTAATTAAATGCAATAAAACTCGAAAAGAAAAGTCGATGAAAATGGCTAAATTCTGCGAGGACCATGCACCTAAAATTTTCTCAAACCATATTAACTTTGAAGTGTAATACATAAACTTCAAGCGTAGATACACCTTGCGGTGTGCCAATCAATATTAAGCATTATTTTTGCAATTTTGTAAAGCCTTCAGTCATTCTTTTGCCCACTTGGCAGAAAATCAACATTTTCATGATCAAAAAATCTCATAATTTTTTTTTCAGAGTTTTCTTCTAGATTTTGGCCAGCATTATAATGGTACTTGATTACAAAGCTACATAGATAGGAAACCTATTAATGTTTAACCATTTGGTAGAATATTTTTAAACAATCAAAACAAAAGCCATCTATTTTAGCAAAAAGTGAGGAAAATGGGAAACTAAAACATTTACTTTTAAAAATTGTGCGAGGACCATTCACCTAAAATTTCTTCAAAGAGGCACTGTTTTTATCCTCAAAGACTGTACTACAATGTACTATAAGTCCCACAGTGCGCCAATTGGTTTAAACGTAAAAATATCTAAAATATCCAAGGTGAATCGATTTTGTAAGTTGGCGCGAAAAATGACACACAATAATGTTTGCAGAAGGAAAATGGACGTTTATCAACACAGTACGCTTCAATACATGCATAAATTGAGATTTATTTGGGCATACGATAACACTCTTTCACATGCAATAATTTTTTTGTGAAATCAACATAAATTTCAAGGTGTATTTGCAGGATAATTTGTGGGAGCGAACGACAATGGGGCTTTTAAAGTAGAAGAAAGGTCGCTCACTTCAAAAGGCAAAATACAAATATCTGAGGCCAAGATCAAATCGATGCAGAACGATCAATACGTTAATCTACCTATCGCATATCGTACGTGAGGTACCGGTGTCTGTAAATTTTTATCTTATTCTACCTCAATTCTCATTGGAGTGATACCAATTTCGTATCAAATAAAACATAAAGCTCTTGTGACTTAGTGGATTTATCTTTTGTGCTGTTTGTCTGTGAATTTGTTCATATATTTGGATTTCATTATCGTGGCCTCCGTTGCGTTGCAGTGTCTGTCTTTACAAATCGTGAATTTTGGCTTGGTCATTATCTCGCCTTCGTTTTAGTGGATTTGTTTCAAATTTTCTGTGCAAACTGTGTACTTTGCTTCGGTTATTGTGTCAAGTCTTGGTATTTTCATGTTAAATACAATTTAAATAATACGCAGTTTTTAATTTTGACCGTTGGAAGTTATTGAATTAATTGCGTCCAGCGTCGTTCGTCATGGCAACATCTCTATGTACCTGTAATCGTGCTCCATTCGTGTAAAATCACGTCTATACATTGGAATCGTGTTTGTCTGTTTACTCGTAACGTTTTGGCCTATTTTTGTTAACTTTGATGGATTATTAATTGTGATTTATTTGGCTTTTCATGTTGTATTGTACATTGTCTACGTTTATTGTGTTTGAACTACTTGACCTTTGCTAAGGACTATAATGAATTCAAAACCACGTCAAAGCGCCTTAAATAAAGAACTGCGCCGGAAAAAAAACACTTCTAGATGGTTCGAAGAGCTTGCAAAAGTCATTTAGTGATGTAGTTATCAGGAAACTCCTAACTGTTTTAGTAATTATCTCGTTATTGCGCAATTTATCCTCTCTACCAGATCTTGAAAAGAACAAAAGTAAGCTAGAAAACATTCTTGTTAGTGCCGAGATTGCTATTCTTCCAGAAAAGTTATGTCTTGTTTGGTCAGCAACCCGTGACGTCGTGCTGAGAAAGTTTAATCTCCCCATGTTTCATCGTTATGGCCTGGATTTTCAAATCAATCGTAACAATGCTTGTTCAATTATCTGTATTCTTCTTTGTGGCGATGTTGCAATTAACCCCGGTCCTTTAAAGCACCTGAAATGCGTCACTTTGAATGCCCGAAGTTTGAAAAGCTTGCACAAAACGGCGACTGAAACAATTATTAGCAACATCCATTGCTTTCAAGATCTAGTTTACGGTGACGATATTGATATCATCTGCGTTAATGAAACATGGCTAAACGAAAACATCTCTAATCTCGAGCTCCTCAATGATGACTATACATTTACCGGAAAGATCGCATTGCTCAACGTGCTGGAGGGGTACTAATCGCAGTGAAGAACGATTCGTTCAAAAGTGTCAAACGGTACTTCCCTACATCAAAATCAGTAGACCAAACAGAAATAGTGTCAGCAGAACTTACGACGCATCACGATCAGAAAGTACTTTTCTCTTCCTGTTATCGCCCACCGAATTCTGGATCTGACTGGGTAGATACGTTTAATGCTTTCCTCGACCAAGCGTGTGATCAGTTCGATAAGGTGTTGATTTCTGGTGACTTCAATATGCCACATATTTCCTGGAATAACACTGGTGAAACTCCTAGCACAAGTAATTCATTTATCGAAGCCCTAAACGATCATTTCCTAACCCAGATTAACAGCATCCCAACTCGAGATAACAACATCCTTGACCTTATTATTACCAATGTACCTGAACATGTTAACATAACTGATGTGGAATCGCCAGACAACGCCGTCGTTTTTACAGACCATTGTGTACTCCACTACGAGTTTAATGCATTTGTTGAAATTCCAAAAACAAAGAGTCAAAGATACGTTTACAACTACAAAAAGGGCAACTTTGAAGGTTTACGTTCCTTGTTATCTACCATTGACTTAACTCTGTGTATAGAACATGACAATATTAACGATGACTGGACATCTTGGAGAAATACTTTTCTCGGCGCTGTTTCGAAATATGTCCCAAGCATAAAACTAAAAGGACGAAAACAACTGCCCTGGATAAACGGAATGATTTTACACCTGATTAAGAAAAAGAACACTGCGCGGAAAAAACTAAGATCGTCCCCGACGAGTCATCTACGCGAAAAATGTAAGCATTTACGTGCCACTATAAAACGTATGTTACGCGAAAGTCGAGAACAATTTTATGTGTCTTTGGGGAACAACTTCCAAGAGAATCCAAAACGATTTTGGTCCGCAATGAAACATCAGTCCAAAACGCGCAACATCCCAGATACAATCTCTACAGCTGGAACAAAGAACGGTCATGAATCCCAGTCATCCAGGATCAAAGCTGACAACCCTGATGATATCACGTCCATGTTTAACAGCTACTTTGCATCAGTATTTGACTCTGATGACTCTTTGAGGGAAGAAACCAGCCATGACCTCGAAACTCCAGTCTTGTCTGAGATAATTCTGACAGTTGAGGAAGTTCAAGCAGTTCTTGAAACATTGGATGTTACAAAAGCCACAGGACCTGACAACGTCCCAGCCCGTCTGCTTAAAGAAACTGCTCCTGTTATTTCAACGTCTTTGTGCACGCTTTTTAATAAGTCCCTAAGTCAAGGTGCTCTCCCGGAAGATTGGAAAATCGCCAACATAATTCCTGTGTACAAGAAAGGTGAAAAAGAATATGCTGAAAACTACCGGCCAATCTCACTCCTTTCAATTGTGTCGAAAGTTCTGGAACGCTGCGTCTTTTATAACATCAGGGAGCAGCTGTACCAGGTAATTAAGACCTCGCAGCACGGATTCACCAGAGGAAAATCATGCGTGACCAATCTTCTCGAAGTTCTCAACTATATTGGCTCGATTTTGGATGTTGGAGGTCAAGTCGATGCTGTGTATCTTGACATGTCTAAGGCGTTTGATAAGGTAAACCATAAACATCTGTTGCACAAATTACGGATGGCTGGATTTGGAGGTAGTCTCTTGCAGTGGTTTCAATCTTACCTAACCAATCGTCATCAACGTGTAACTGCACAAGGTTCCACCTCTACTACCCTGCCAGTTACATCAGGTGTACCTCAAGGGTCCATCCTCGGTCCAGTCCTATTCAGCCTCTATGTCAACGACCTTCCAGATACAGTTACATCTAGTCATGTTGCTATGTTTGCTGATGATACAAAACTGTTCAAAAACATCAAGTCCGTCAAAGACAGCGAACAGCTTCAAAACGATCTCAAACATTTAGAAACGTGGTCTGAAGAGTCTGGTCTCAATTTTAACGAAACGAAATGCAAGACACAACGTATAACAAGAAAGATAACACCATTAACATTTAATTACAAACTTAACAACGGAAACTTAGTACAGACTGAATGTGAACGAGATCTCGGCGTTTTTGTGGATAAAAGCTGGAATAGACAAGTGTACGAGCAGTCAGCAAAATCAAATAAACTATTGGGTTACATCAGGAGATCCACAATCTATATCCACAACCAGGAAGTGAGACGCACATTATACCTTGCACTAGTTCGGCCACACCTGGGGTACGCTACCCAAATATGGGCACCACAATCCACCGAACTAATACGCCACGTCGAACGAACTCAAAGAAGAGCAACCAAATACATCCTTAGTCTTCCATTCTCCTCCTCTACTGACTACACCACCAGACTTCAAACTTTAGGACTCTTACCGATC